CCGCGCCCCCCGCCGTGGGGCCGGTGCCCGTGCCGGTGCCGGTGCCTGAGGCCGGCCTGGCGCCTCCGGGCCCCCCCGGTAGGACAGACGGCCGCCCGGACAAGAGCAAAGGGCAGGTGGTGCTGGCCACGGCCATCGAGATCTGTGTCTGAGCCGCCCCTGCCGCCGCCGGGCCGGGGCGCCAAGTGCACAGCCCTGGACCCCCCGCCGAGCAGCGCTGTTCAGCTCGAGCGCCAGCGGGAGACAGTAGTGTAGACTAGGAGGCCGCGGGGGCCTGGTACCCAGTCGGTCATCCCAGCGGGGGACAGCCGCCAGAGGACCTCCGCGGCTGGGAGGGCGGATGGCGGCAGGAAGAGCCCAGCCCCGCAAACCCAATGATTCAGAGGCGCCCCCCCACACACACCGGCAGCCAGGGAGCTTGCAGGCCAGACTCCCCGACACCTCACTCCTGCCCAGGAGCCCTACCAGCCATGCTGGCTTATACCCCATGGCAGATGGAGCCTCAGCCCCTGCCCTTCCGCCCTCCCTACTTGGTCCCCACCCTGCTCTGGGCACAGAAGTGGCTCGAAGCGTCTGGGCCCAACGTGGGAGGAAGACACTCTGTCGTGCACCTTCCTTCAGAGGCTGGAAGGAGAGGCCAAATCCCTGAACACGTAGGAGAAGTCTGGGTGTTTTGTGTGTGCACGTGCATGCAGCACAGGCTGCAAGCATCTAGTGTGCCCCACACCCCCGTTTGACTGGGAGGCCCAGCCCTGGAGGGCAGGCAGCTGGTCTTGGATGCACAGCCGCAGAGCCCCCTCCCCGACCTCCATCCCCTCTCTTTGGTCCTCTACAAGGGCTTTCTGGGACAGAAGGGCCCCAGGGCAGGGGTCCAGCGGAAGGTGGGCACTGGCCTATCCCAACCCTTGCTGTTCCAGCCCAGACATGGCCTGGATTTCCCATGACAGTAGGGTGACTGTGCCAGTGATTTCTCCTGGGTTTCTGCTGGGGTGAGCATGTCCACCTCCAGGAGTTTGGCTGACCCCATCCATCCCCACTCTTCCCCAGTTTCTGGTCCTGGTGGATTTAGAAGCAAGGGGCATCTGGGGATAGGAAGGGGGCTGGCCCTGTGAGTGGGAACCACTCCACGCAGAGGACAGACGCGTGGGTGCAGCCTTGTGCAATCTGACTACTGCGCAGCCAGACACCTCCCAGCCTCACCAAGGTCCCCTGCCAGGCAGCTGTCACCACACCCCTCAGGGAACCCACAAAGAGGCACCTGCAGGTAGGCTTAGGCCCCCAGGCAGGAAAGCTGACTCAGAGGAGGCAACCTCGTGAGGCCTGCCCTCAGGAGGCCTGGGACCCTGGCAATCACCTCAGTGTGGGTGAGGCCACACCCTCTTCCTGGCAGTGCCCAACCACTGGCCTGGGCTGCCTCTCCCTAGGTCCCTCCTGAGGCTCTGGGGCATTCTAGGGGGCTCCTGATGGGCCAGGCTGCCTACAAAGGACACAGACCACCCTCCAGCCTGGAGCTCCAACCTCCCATTACCCCTAAAAAGGGCTATAGGTCCCCCTGCCCTGCCCGGGTCCAGTTTACAAATGGCGTACAGTTGCCCCAGGGCCTGGCCCAGCTCTCCTCTGTGTGCCCACTTCTCAAGACCTTGCCTCCCCGGTGGGCACGGGGCCCACATGCCAGGTAAGTAGCAAACCCCTCCTTCTGCCAAGAGCCGACTCAGAAAGGCCCTGTCACTGCCCCGCCCACTCGGGGCCTTCTGGCCCTTCCCAGCCGCGACTTCTCCTTTTTGCCTTAGGCCTCTCGACATCCTGATCTCTTGCAATAACAAGGAAGCGAGACTCCACATAGATGTCCCTCTGCGTGTGCCCTTTTTTTCTCTCTCTGTTGAGATCTTGTTTGGGAGTGTTCTCCCTCAGTGTCATAGAATAGGCTGTTAGAGCTGGGAAGGGGCGGCAGGCATGTAGCCCAGTCCCCTCAGAGCTGAGGACCAGCCTGACCCCTGCAGGACTGGACCGGGTCAGGGCTCCGCTCCTGCTTTGCCCTGCTGCTGCCACTGTCTTGGGAGGGCTGGGATCCTTTACCCCTTAGGGGAGGTGTTGGTCGAGATGTTTACCTCAGTTTATGTCACTGTCAAAGAAACAAATTAGCAAAAAATTAACACTGTAGATGTGGAGATGTAGAGACAGAACCCCCCCCCCCAACAAAAAACCCTCTCTTGGGACTCCTCTGTAGAGGTACAGTGTGTGCTCACACGTGTATGTGTCTCTGTCCCACCCTGGGGCAGTCAAGTCATCCCTGACCTCTGTCCCTGCCCCGAGGTCCCCCACAGTGTCCCATGTCCTTCGGTGCTTCCCAGAGACCCCACTGAGCTGGCCTGTGGGGTGTGGGGAGCCCCCTGGATGGGAGTGGGGCCACAGGTCAGCCAAAGGGTTCCCCACAAGGCTTGCTTAGCAGAGCCAAGGCTGCTGGTGCACCCTGAGCCCAGCACGGCCCCAGTAGCTGGCATCAGTGGTCACGCCTGGCTCAGGGCCTGAGTAAGATCCTGAGTGTAGTCGCAGGCCCCACACTTTCATGTCTTGCCCCTCACCCACACCCCATGCGTTTGTAAATACTCTGGCATCCTTTGGCCCTGAGGTGGTTTTTAAATGTGTTACTTCTCTAATCATGACAATTGCTATAAAATAAACGAAAGTTTAGAAAAATTACGCAGGAGTGGTGGTGTCCTCTCTGTTGGGGGTGGGGTAGGGAACACAGGCTTCAGGTGCTCTCTAGCAATTGATCTGGAAGAGTTTTTTTGGCGGGACCGGGGATTGAACTCAGGCCCTTGTGCTTGCCAGGGAAGCGCTGCATTCCACTGAGCCACCACCCCGGCCCCTGGAAGTTTCTACAGGTACTCTTTATAAACTCAAAGCTTGATCTGGACTAATCAATTCCCTGGGATAGCAACTGCAGTCAGGGCAGTTACCATGGGCTTCTCCTGCTTTCTTAGCCCTCAAGGAAGCCCTTGAGTAGGGATCAAGGACAGTGAGATTGAAAACTTGACTTTTTCAGGAAAGGAACAGAGAGTTGTTTCCAGCCTGAAGTCCAGCTCCAGCTTGGAGCCCTTCAATACTGGCAGGAAATAAATGCAGAAGTCCCAAGGAGCAGAGCAGGCCTCTTCTGGCCACCACTACGATAGTTCCTGAGCACCTTTGGTGTCCTGCACCAGGAAGACAGAGTAGAGGAGAGCAAGACAATGGAAGGGTAGACACCAAGGAACGAATTGCAAGGGGTGGTTCGTGCTGTCATACTGCGGTCACAGTGCACCGAGAACAACTGGATCCATAGAAGGTCGCCCTGGCTACGGTCAGAGCACTTTGAGGGGTGTAGCGGGGCCAGAAGGCCAACGCAACATGTGAAGGAATGGAGCAAAGGCAAGGCTACAGGTAACTCATTAAGCTCTTCGGTTACCAGAGAGAAATAGGAGCGGGAGGAGACCTGCGGGAAAGATCAGCTTGTAACATACAGAAAGGCATTTTTACAAGTTAAAGCATGTAACTCCTGCAGTGACAATGAAATGTCACAAAGTTTTCCTGGGTTGTAGTGGATCTTCTGGTCTTCAGGTCTGTCACTTCACCAAGATTCTCGCCCCTGTGTGTCCTGTTTGTGTTTTTTTGTGCATCTGGAATCCTGCCTCACCTGTTCACGGCACTAAAGGAAAGTCTATTGAAAATAGGAATAAAACACAAGTAGGATGCTTTGGAAGGCCCCAGTGACACCTGAGACACATTGGCCTTGCCCTGATATCGGTACATACCTATAACCCCAGCCCTCTGGGTGGCTGAGGCAGGAAGATCACAAGTTTGAGCCCAGCCTGGACAACTTGCAGACCCAGTTACAACCTAAAAAATAAAAAAAGGACTTAAATTTTTAAAAAGTAGCGCAATGTAAACACCCTGGGTTCAACCCCCAGTATCGCCAAGAAAAAAGAACACTGGCCTACGCTAATGGCAATAAACCTTGTCTTGCTCTTCCAATGGCCTCAGTACATAGGACAGTGGCTAGCACATAGACGATCAGTGTTGAGTGAACAATAAGTATGAGCGTTTAAATAGACCGATTCTTTGCCAGCCCTCCAATTGGAGTCTGGACTCTAACGAGCGGGCTCCACCAGCGGGCCTCTTTGCAAGCCCTCCCTTCCAGTGGAGCCAGTGCCTGTCAATCACCGCAAAGGGGCGGGACCCGTACCACGCCCCTCTTTGGGAACCCGGAAGGAAGGTCGGAGGCAGGCGACGCGCGTGCTTGACGTCATCGACGCGCGCGTCTGACGCCATCGACGAGCGACGCGCGCCTTTGAAAAGCATGGGTCTCGGCTCTGCAACGTGAATGCGCGGAAGTGCGAAGACGAATCCTGCGACCTGCTCCGCGAATATGGTGACAACACTAGGGCCCGGAGGTAGGCCTAGAGCAGGCGAGCCGGCCTGAAGGCTTTGGCGGGGGAGGGCGAGGGCCTCGCCGGTGTCTCGCCCCTCGCGGGGAGGGCCCGCGGAGTCAGCGGGCGGGTCTGTGCTCGCCGTGGTGTCCCGTTTATCGACTGCTTCCTGCGGACCAGGCGACGTGCTGAAGAACTTTCAGAACTGTGCACTTCTTACCTTGGGAAGGTGTCTGTAATAATTGCTGTCCCAAGCTACAGTATCCCTGGGGTTTTGGGTTTGCACTAGGGCTGGTCCTTTCCCAAATTCACATAAAAACACTTTTAAAAATAAAACTTTTATACCAATACCGCCTTCTCATTGTGTTATATTTTGGAAATCATAATGTCACTGGCTTAGAATCTTGGCCAGCACACATGTATACCCTGAGGAATTAAGTGACAGTACAGAAAGCGTCGTGATTTGCAGGCCCAAAGTTGCACATGGGCAAGCGCATTCTGCTGCGATCTTTTAAAGATAGTGTAATGAAAAAATAAATAAATAAATAAAAAAATAAAGATAGTGTAATGATAGCACTTGTAAGGTTGGCCAGAAAATTGGTTAGTTAGGCTGGCTGTGGTGGTGCATGACTTTAAGCCTAGAACTCTGGGAAGCTGAGGCAGGAGGATCTCAAGTTCAAGGGTAGTGTGGACAACTATATGGGAATCCTGTCTTAGGAAATAACGTAGGCCTTGGGTTCAGTCCCCAGCCTTATACAGCAGAAGTTAATTACATACCTATGATTATGTATATTAAATACATTCTAGTGCACAGTAAAGGCTGATGTGCATTTTTGGATAGCTCAGTGGACTAAGTACTTGCTTAGCCAAGGGCAGGGGCCGGGATTCGCTCCAGCCCCCCCTCCCCGCCCTGAGCTGACACCCAGACAGGGCGTCGTGGCACACACCTGTAACCCCAGCGTTGGGGAGGCTGAGACTTACAGGAGGATCACTGCAAGTCCAAGCCGTGTAGTGACACCCTGTACCAAATACATTTTTTAAAAACTGTGCACGGTTATCATTCGTTTTTCAACAGCCCCACTGATAGGTTGGAGACTTGTGCAAGCGCTATGTACCCTGTCTACACTGGTATGTTGCGTAAGGTCTTAAATCCTATACACTCTTCACCACAGTAGGATCAAGAGGCGCTTGGGGAGAGGTAGTTTCTTATTTTTATTTTGTACCGAGGATTGAACGCAGGGCCTTCGCACTGAGCTACATTCCCAGTGCGTTATTTATTTCATTAGGGTTTTTTCTTTTCTTTTTTTAACGCCTATGCTGAGGTATCTTGCTGACCCTTATTTATTTCTGAGACAGAGTCTCAAACTTTATCCTCTTGCCTGAACCTCCCAAAATCCTAGGGTCTTAGGTGTGCCCAGCTAGGAGTGAGCATTTTTCACTTCGTTTAGTATTTGGCTCTCAGCTCACAAAAATGAGTGTCTTATATCAGACAGAGATACCTGGTTTTGGTGTTGGGGTGTGCCCTGCCATGCTTCATCTGGTGAGCATATTTCCCTCTGTGCTGATTCATCTCTTAAGATGCTTCTGGGTGCTTGCTTCCGCAGAGCGCAGCGGCCGGGGTTTGATCACCCGCACGCCATGAGGGCCCCCCCCAGGACATGCTGAGATGCCCATTGAGGCTGGGCATGGTGGCGCACGCATGTAATCCCAGCACTTGGGAGGCTGAAAACAAGAAAATCACTATGAGTTCAATCTATGATCTACGTAGTGAGACCCTGTAGACCCTGTCCTAAAAATTCATTTAAAAAAAAAAAATGTTTCTGATAACATTTTCAAGTAGTGGAGGGAGTGTTGTCTCGGTCTGTTGTTTTTTCTTAATTACCAGCCTTATGTTCATTTTAATATGAATATATGCATATTCTGCAACCTGGAATGTAGGTGTGTGTGCAACAAATACACAAGCACGCATGTACCAGAGGATAGCAGTATTATTTGCAGCAGTTGCTTTGTGCTTATTAATAGTCCCAAACTAAAGATATCAAATTCTATAGCAATGAATTGTATTTTTTTTTTACTCATTCTATGTCTCGGTCTCTTCATAACTGTATTGTCAGTAGGGAGCCACCTGCCACTGGGAGTTCCAGGCAAGTAGTTGTAATTAGTGTCTGACTAGGAGCTGTTGCCTTACTGGTTTTACAGAGCCAGTTTGTAGGCAAGCACTAGCGGTTCTGGATGTGAGGGAGGTGCTCTAGAGGCTGCCTTGAAGAAAGGGGTGACGTTCAGGCATCTTCAGAGAGGAGGCTAGAAGATTCCAGGCAGAAGAGCATGGAGCAAAGAGCACAGTCTTCATCGGGCCACTTGGGGGGGGGGGGTGCCAGTACCCCTTAGATCATTGATTCTGTGATTCAGGACAGCTCCCCGTCCCAGAGAGTCGTAAGCAGTAGAGTCACGGCCCCAGCTGGTTGATCGCGATCTCTCTACGCTGTATTCGCAGAAGGCACATGGAGAGCGAGAGTGGGGCACACCTAGCGTTGTCCTAGGAGCAGTGACATCTGCTGCCTCCTTTGCAGGTAGCG